TGGGCAAATGCAGTTGTTCGCGCTATTTATTTGTTTGTTTGTTTGTTTGTTTCCTGCCTTTCTCCTTAAAAAGGACCCAAGGTGGCTTTCATCATTAAAAAGACAATATTTAAAAGCTAAAAATAATAAATATACAAATATTTAAAAAGAATCAAACAAGTTTTATATTAAAATATTAAATAAAATAATACTAAAGCGTATTTAAAACAGCAGAGCACAACAGTCCCCTCTCAGACCACTGGTCTACTAGCACACTTGTTTTGGGACCTGGGGGCTCCTCCCTCAGTGCTGCCTGCTAGCAAGGCTGGCACAGGTTTTCAAAGAAGAAGTGCTGGTAGATACCACCTCTTTCCCAGTTTAGATCTCTCTCCTTGGGGACCATCCACCTGAGGCTGCTCCAGTATTGCTTAGGAAAGCCCTTTCTCTTAGTCAAAATAGCGAAACAGAACCTCCATCAAATTACTTTTTAATACCAGAAAATGTTGACAAACAAGGGTTGCTCTCATGTCATGCTGGCAGTTTTCTGGGGGCTTTTCACTGGCTGTTGTGGGAAACAGAGCAGACGGTGAAGTGACTTTTCTAAACTGCACACTTAGCACAGAGAAGAAGTGGAGTTCTTTAGCTTTGAATATCGTTTTTCTTCCTTGGTGTCATGATTATTCTTGCAATATCCATTTTATAGAAGCTGGCAAATTAGTAAAGACTGTTGGTCTGCCTTTTTAGAAAAGAGATAAATTACTTTCCCGAGGTAAACACTGAGCACAGTAGAGTGCAGTGTGCACTTTTAGTTAATTTACTCCAGCATCATTTTTCCAGTTCAAATTAATTTATCATTCACATTCTCATCAGACTGTTATAAAATCGTTTTGTAAAATTGTAAAATTCAGTTAATTTCACCACCAAAATATATTTATCCCCTGGATCTCTCAAATGATTCCCTCATTTCACACAATACTAATTTTCCTTTTAATGCCACAAAGGGAGTTGGCTTAATTTATCCCTTAATAGGGTGATTTGAGATATACAGTGGTGGCTCGCACAACGATGTTAATGGGTTCCAAAAATTCATCGCTGTGTGAAACCATCATTCTGCGAAACACCATTTCAAATCGCCATAGGAAACATCGTTGAGTGAAACGTGGTTTCCCAATTGAAATGCATTGAAGCCTATTCAATGCATTTCAATGGTTTAGCGAAGTCAATTTTTGCAAATTTAAGTGTCTCATAAAAGGGTCAAAAACGTTTTTAAATGCTTGGAATAGCTTCTGCG